CATGCAGAAATACCGTTCCAGAAAGTGAGCTTGTGACTACACTTACGATTGCTATGTAATTTTGGCAGTGTTTACTACGCAACAGCATCCGGACCACGTGGTTGTCTCCGTAGTATCCGACAAAAAGGCCAAAACACTGCACAATTACCTGCGGCAGTGGATTATAAAATGTCGTATATTGGTGTCAGCTGGTAATGAGTTACCGTCTATTCTACGGCTATATCACCTCGATTTGCCGAAGGGCTATGGAACCCTGCTGAAGTATCCAGGGGAAACGGCAAACACCAGTTTGGAATCCGAGACATACAGTCACCTTGGTGTACCCCTTGGGTTGATGACAGCATGCCAGCGCCAGCATGTTAGCCCACCACGGTAGGTTAAAATCCAACTGCATATAGACGGATTCTACCCTTTTCAGTTCGTCTCTACTGTAGGTGTGGCCAATTTTGTGTAGGTTCATTTCACCGTTCGTTTCAACACCCTTTTCTGTAGGGTTGTACCATGGTCCAGTTAAACCCTCAGGTGTGTGTCAATTTTTGGCCGCCTTAAGGAAACAGCTCAGAGTATTGCTTGAACGGCGGGGTAAAATTACTTGGTACCTCATTTACAACAGAACTATACGTATCCGATGCAATATGCGGTGCCCCTGCGTAAGCATATGTGAAGAGAATCAAATGACACTTCGGATACAGCGGCTGACAAGTGCTGTCGACATGGTAAGTATGTAAACCATCGGCTCACACTTCCAGGGACAAATTGCCGGCTTCCTACGAATGAAACGTTTCGGCGTGGCAGCAACAACGAGCCAGCACCTTTCGAATGCTTACCCATAGATATGATAAGCGCGTTCCCAATTGACTATATACACTCAATAAAGTCACCGCCCCTAACACATTGGCAAGTTGATTGACACCACATTTACAAGTTCTGTGCATATATCGGCTCTCGCATGAACACGCCTACATATCTGACTAGTGACATACCACTATTCGTACGTATTTTCCACCCGTTTCCTCATACTTCACTCACTGACCTACATTGCTTACGGGACCTCATCGGACTAGTTCCTCATCAACAGACCATATAAGTGATCTGATCACTATTTTTACCTCTCGCAATTTGTGTACATAGACTACCTACAACCTTTGGGCTCTATGGGCCCTCACTACTGTCTCCAACTTTACTACTCCCATTGTTGGTGCTGCTTATCCCGTTATCATGTGCAATAATACAATATGCTGATCATGCCCAAAAGGCGTGTCTCGCTTTGTCGAGAATAAAATATTTATTTATTTATTTATTTACGAAATATGCCCCGGTGTAATGCGTAGGAGGATGTCCTTGTGGATACCGTCCCCTGCTAAGAAGAAGTGCAGCCTTACTCGGCGGAAAATCTGGCAAGTTCGGAGAATGTTAGAGGCTAATCAATCGCGCTGGCCACGTGCCTTCACCAGACGTTGTAGAGGCGTTCCGCGGTTTCGTTATTGAAAGGCTACGGAACTTAGAAAATTCTTATTGTACGCCAGAGCCGCGGTGCTACTAAATGTATTGCCAGCTGCCTAGTGTAAGAAATTCACGGACCTACACATGGGCACCTATTTACTATGTCACCGGAAGCTTCACCGCAATCAATGTGACTTCGCAGCGCTGGCGTTGCATGTTTTTGTTGAGGGCTACTTACACTTACTTGGCGCGGATGAATTGATTTTTAAGGTACTCCTGCTGCCGCGGTTAGCGCAGGATGTTCGCAACCATGGGTCTATGGATACTTTCTCTGGTTTTCCTTTTGAGTCGTATATGTATTTGCCAAAAAGCATGTTGCGCAACGCCGTGAATCCAGGTGCACAATTAACACGACGTTGTATTGTATACATAAACCTGTCATTGGGCCATGGTGCACCGGACCAATGTGTTGCCGGTGTACATTAGGTGCTTATTAAACGCAAACTTACTTTTTTAATCAATAGTGTGTTCCATTCCTCTAAATGTCCGAATAAGGTGATCAATGTTTCCGGCAAGCCATCTGTAGTACGCAGCATACGTAAAGGGGCGTGTAAAAGAGGACTTATAATGTGTCAGGCGTTTGCCAGAACTACGGACCTCGAAGTGTATACACTTCGGTCCAGTGAGGGGGGTAGATTCCGTGCATAAGGATTGGACACGCGCTTGCTCGCCTATTCCATCGCGGACATAACGTGTAAATGCTTTAAGTTTAATGCCCTCAGCTGCGCTGTAATTGTCCCTGTGACTATCGTGGACAACTGCCGTCATGTTTGTTTACGTGTGCGTACTTCATCCTGAACACCCACTGTGGCGTGGCGTGTGAAGCATCCTAATAGGCATTATGTGCTGTATGCCTGCATGAATGAGCTACCTGTGTGCCGTAGTACTGTGATCTAACGTTTAGCTAACTGGTAAGTGCCCGGTATCCGCGTACAAGTCGCATTTCGTCTACTGGTACATGTACCCCCATTTATCCGTTTTCATTGACAGCCGCGTGCATTTTAGGCGCTATGTCAAGACCATCGTATCACGTGGTTCGCCTTACAGACAACGGTGTCAGTGAGGTGAACGTCATCAGCAGCATGTGGTTTCAAGCGGATGGCGTGAGGGCACTTCTTCTAAGTGTGCCAGGTTACCAGTACCGGGACTCCGTGCGGGTTCTTAGGCATCCCAATTTGACGGACAGGAAACAAAGAGTCAGCATTGTATGTTTCATTGTTACATGCAATGCGCAGATAACTTTGAATACGCTTGCTATCTAGAAAGGTCGCTCGGAAGTCAGATGGATACGGAGGCCACGGATGAAAGCATTGTAATGGGAACGCCGCCCAAGCGTTTAACGTAAGTTTCCAGTCTACGTGGTCATAATGCCACACAGTCGCCGCCCACAACCACTGATTTCTGAGGATGCACGAAACCTTCCGAGGATGAAAAAGCGAAGGCCGTCAGCTGCTTCCCACGCGGAGCCTGCGCCCGGCAATCTTTTCAATAAATCGGCCACATCAAGACCGAGCTCCAACGCAGCGAATTCAAGTGCAGTACCAATGAAGGACACATGTGGGTGTCACATTCATATATTCATCCGCCCATGATTCTGTAGCTACCCTCCCTAACCTTTCTCTGGTCTCATTTCTGCTACGGGAAACAGATACGCTGTGATTACGCTTTACGTAATGCCCTCAGCTTTAACGGAGTATGTTCCCCAATCCGTATTTCAGGCGGGGTCAAAAACAGAGGAAAAGACATAGGAAGTAAGTATTTCGCATTTCTAACCGGAATGCAGATTACTGCCGCACGTGCTGCCGTGTGCAGATGACTGCCGCCACAGAAATTCAAAGGGCTGTTAAACCTTTGAACGGTAACCTTATAGCATGTTTGACCACCCGTTCCATTGTTTTATGAGCTTTTGCATTTCGTCCTCTGCACCTAGAACGTAATGGTTACTGCGCTTACTTCAGTAGGGGATGCTGCAAGGCAGGCCATTCCACAATCCCTGACGCATGCACATCTCTTTCACCACAGTAGAAAGAGGGTAGGCCTTCGAACCTTCCCTGGCAGATCAGGAGACACACGACAAATTCAAAAGTTGCTTTACTTGAGCAGAAACGTGAGTTCACTTGCTTCATATCCATCAGGTGTCATTTTTGCAGAGACTACAAGAGGAAACGATTTGCAAATTTACCAGCGTCGGGTGTGAGCGCGTATTCAGAATCGCAGTCGCCTCGTAGGTGTATTTCTCAGGTGCCGGAAACCCGCTACCATCCAGAACAACCAAGATTTGTCAGGCCATGCATGGTAAGTGCATGTACAGAAAAGTAACTATTCAACAGACATATTATTTAGGAAGTTTCACAGCAGAGGCATCACTTCCAGTGACGTGGCGAAATGCATCAAAACTGGCTGCATAACTTGCGCCGTAGGTCTGCAGTTCGTAGGTTTCGGAGACAGTTTCGGCACCAGCGCGAGGTACTATCGCCTTTCATCTCCAAGTCGCTTTAGGATTACGTTGGAGGTAGATACCAAGACCCCCTACGAAACCGTGGACTTATAAATCTAAAGATTGTACACTTCCTACACTTGTGTACATATAACGTCCCTTCTTCGACTTGTGTCATCTGCTGCTCGTTTAAGAAAACGTACCGGGTCGTACTTGCAATGCGGACACAAAGAACGCCAGGTGGGGTTAGGAACAGCGTCATTAACATGTTCCTTCGCAATTTCGTTGCACCGGCAAGTACTTACGGTGGGAAATGCGAGTATTATCACATAAGTAGGATACCGCGAGAGGTCACGTGTTTCAAAGGCTGTAAGCGTGCATGGGGTCCCATGCTGTGGTCCACGGTAGCAGTAAAGCTTGATTAGTTATCTTTTAGCAACTGCTTCAAGGTCGCTCGTGGGTAGGGTCATCCACTGGTTAGACAAAAACTGTCTCACTTGCTCGGATCGCGGTTTGTTTAACGTCCACTAATCAGCAACTTCTCACTCCGGAGTCCCACTCGTGTGTGATCGTGGTTTATTCATGGAGAAAACGGTTCACTGCGCTGGGTGGGTTATTGGCCGCTTCCGGAGCTGGTCATTTGGGATTCTACGGTTGAGGGTTCCAAGCGGCAGACGACCTTTGGTAACAGTACCACACCTCCCGCTTCTAACCGACTCGTCTTCCCAGCTTTCTGTACCATTTACTACTTTTGCTCGTAGCTCGGTAGTATAATTATTTTGATGACATACTCACTTTCTCTCTTAGCACCTTCTGCGCTCTATTTACCCCACAGAAACCGGACAGGTAGGGATTGCTGAGCAGGAAAGCTTAGCAAGAAGTAAACATATAAATACATAGTTCATTCTCAACAACGTGAGGCACGTCCATAAAAGCGTGATCCTGATAATAGGACAAATGATGGGTAATTGTACAAAAGTACCCGTTAACCCTAGTAGGTAATGCATGTTTATGCATATATATACGTACGTAGGTATGTATGTGCATAACTGTGTTGTTTGAGTTTGTTTAGATGCCCCTTAAATTTCGGCTGTTTGATCGCGTCCCCAATAAGTGCAGAGATGATTGACGTTCGTAAATGAGATGCTCTTATCCGGATAATCAAGGGGTTGTGACATCCGTTTGTGGAGAGGTACATTCGCTACTCCTTAACCTTGTCATAATACATTTATGGCTTTTTATAGGTGAAACGCTTGCTAGACGAAAACCCAAGAGGTCTTGGCCTGGGCGCGATGCTGTCTATGTTTTGGGTCTTTTAACATCTCAAGCCGGCCTATCAAGTTCCGGTTTAAGTATATGCCAAAGGAGGTACATTCACTGGATTATTCTATCGCTCCAGTCCTAACTGAATTTGAACTTGTGGTATGCACTCGTAGCCATGTCAGCATCTCAAATGAGGGTGATTCACAAGTCAAATGCTTGCTAGAGCTAACACATACCAACCTAGTTAGACTGCACAAAAACGCCTGCTGTTCTCCTAACAAACATGCAGGCGCATTATTCATGTCTGTTTAGCTGCCTCGAAATATATAACTTTGCCGAGACGCGTATTTTTGAAAATGGACAAAAGCATCGCAGTGTCTTCAGCTGTGGATAAGTAAGACCCATGTTAAAGTATATTGCCCACAGATTTAGCACAGATCCTGTCATAGTTGAAGTGAATTATAATGGCCTGAGGTGTTTAGTGTTCAAGGAACTCAGTACCCCAAGTTTACTGGATGCTGCTTATGAACACAAGCCGGCCGAGATAATTATTGTTTGCGGAGGTCAAATTACTGAACTTCCACAGGAAATGAAGCTTATGAAAAATGTGCAGCTTCTTTCTATTACCTCTTCCGCTTTTCAGAATGCATCTTTTATTTGTGAATTGACCAATTTATCCCTTTTGAATCTTTCGGGGAACAGGTTGTTGTCAATACCTAATGAGATCAGCAACTTGAGGTGCTTAAAAGTGCTGGACTTGTCAACTAATAATATCAGCATCATGCCGGAAGGTATATTCAAGCTTAAAATGTTACAGTCACTTGATATATCTGAAAATGGTATCTCTGAGTTGCCGGCATCAATTAGCAAACTTCGCGGATTGCAGGTGCTAGCTTGCGCTTCTAACAAGCTACACGTCATACCTGAAGAAATATCTCATTTATCCAATTTACAAATTTTGAATTTGATAAATAATAAGCTGTCTTTTCTACCAATAAGTATTGGAAATCTTAAAAGCTTGCTCGTTATTCATGTTGATCACAATGAACTCGATCACATCCCCTCTCAGCTTTTTCATTGTTCATCTCTTACGGAGTTGAGTGTTTCAAATAACTTTATCTTTGGTTACTTATCCAGTGAAATCGGTTCTTTAACCAATCTTAGGGCACTTAATCTGTCGTCAAACCAGTTGAAGAAATTCCCCGCTGAATTGAGCCAACTCGAAAAATTGGAATACCTAAATTTGAACGGCAACTGTACCAAGACTCTGGAGCTTGATATTTCAAGATTAAAGTTTTTACAGGAATGTTGTTTATCTGGACTAGGTCTCTCTGTTTTACCTATGCACATCGCGAAATCCAAAAATCTGGTGTACCTGAATTTGAGCAGTAACAAATTGAAAGATCTTCCTTTTGATGCCCCATGTTTTCTAAAATTGACAGCTTTGTTTTTGTCAAAAAACTGTCTTTCATCGTTGCCGTCTTGGTTATGTTCTCTGAGGAATTTGGTTGTTTTGGAACTTCAGAACAACAGACTTCAAGGATTACCCGAGGCATTTTACCAATTGACAAGTCTTCGCCAATTGGACCTTTCTTTTAATTTATTCACCTCCATTCCTATTTCCATTTACCATTCTGACAACAAGCTTTCGTATTTATGCCTGGATGCTAATCCGCTAGCTTTCTTACCAGAGGAAATTTCCAACCTTTCTTACCTCACACATTTCTCCGTATCATACTGTGCACAGCTGCAGACGTTTCCAAGTGGAATCGGCAAGTGCACTAATCTGCGTATGGTTCGTGCATCTCATTGCTCACTAATCAGTCTACCAAAATCCATGGCTAATTTAAGTTCCCTCCGGTACCTTGACCTATCTCACAACCATTTTGACTGCTTCCCTATTGTGGTTTGCTTTATCCCAAGACTGAGAGTGCTCTTGTATGACCAACATGAGGGTAAACCTCTGGTACCTGTGGCTGATCCTTCGGGATGGTTTGAACGGAGCGCCTTACTTTATCCTGACGAGACACAAGAAAAGAAATTGACAGAAACGGATTCACACCATACTCATGGATTACAAGGGACTATCAGTCTGGACCAGGCTCTAAACGACGCTCACTTTAACTATTTGAAACTACCTTTTCTTATCGGCAAGCTCTCTCAACTCATCCATCTCTCTTTACAAGGAAATGGGCTTTTCGTTCTTCCAGACGTTTTTCACCTAATGAATATTCGTCGTTTGAACCTCAGCCATAATCGCATCTGCTTCCTGCCACCAAGGTTTCATAAATCGCAAAAACTCACGCATCTCTATTTGAGCAACAACAGAATTGAACGGCTGGACGAAAACTTTAGATCGCTGACGTCTTTGCAAGTCCTGACCATTGCCAACAATCCCTTAGTATGCCCGCCTGTAGATTTATGCGTGGGAAGGAAGGTTTTCCCCGTTCATCTTTATTTGCAGAGACAGAAGCTTTTTGAAAGTGAGTTACGTTGTGAATTTAAGAAATATATTGGAACTTCATCCCTACATTGCATAAAAGCCATCCTTATTTGGCTAGGATAAAATATTACTTCAATATTCTGCTTGACATCAGTTGCAACCACTTTGACTAAGCGCTACTTAACGCATATTTGGGTGGTACTTGGCATCGTTTCTTTGCAACGAATGGCACCCGGTTTAAATTGCTATTAATATACATCAAGTTACTAGGAATACAGCTGGAATCTAAGGGTCCCATACATTACTATTAGGAACATGGGTAAAGCTTCTTAATTAATATTTACGAAATGTATCGTGGTAATATCGTGATATTGCAGTAATGACAGATTGTGCAACTTTATTTTTGTATACTTTACAATGTGCAGCAGTTTAGCTTAGGGTATAATAACGTTAATCAAGCCAACCAATACGAACCTCTGACCTAATATATCTATTGCACGTATCTACCACTACACGAGTAGGGCACAAGCTATGATCGGTAACTATAGACATTAATTTTGCTACGGAGCATCATCCATTTCAGTCCGTTCTCGTTGCGGCAGGCTTACTGAGGAACTACTTCCAACTATTGTGGCTTAGACAGATGTGTATTAACAATGAAGACGAATTGCTGGGGATAGGTTGCACCATCGTTAGCAACACAGGCAAGCCTTTCTCTTACAATATTAAATCTACTCGTGTTGTGGAATAGACTAAAATATTTGCATGGACTGTCAAAAGTCCACGCAACGTAACTTCCAAATCACTATGCAACCAGTTTTATTGCTCAAACATGTTTTGACAAAAAGCATGCCTGGCCTACGGAGCCGGTTTTGCTGTTATTAAGATGATGTCGTGACCTGTGAGTCTCCTTTTGTTGTCGCATTAAAAGGGATCGTTCGGGGAGACTATCTTTCAGTCTTTCTCTATACTCCGCGGTGCGGTCACGTGGTCACGTCATTCACGGATGGACGCATCACTGTTGCAGAGCCTCTGTTTATCTCATATACGGTGGCTAGTTTTCTTGGGAGCCTACTTGATCTGAATGAAGTAGTCGCCTGTTAGGTGCTTGGTAACGCAACCAAACCAACAGCATTGTTTTCGTCCAATGAATGGAGTCTACAACAAGCCGTTGCACACTATGTTTTCATGCCATTTTACCTTCATCTAAAAGGTATCCTTATACGTATCGTTGTGCGGACATGATGCTTAGTAATTACATTAGTATAGAAGATCAATAGCAAGATTTAAACACGTATCGTGTAGTAGCAAAAGTCGTCACGTTATAGAGCTTAATGAAACGTAGCTATCAATTTCAACCGAATGTAGACCGAATGGATAATAAATGCAACAAAATTCGCAAAATGCGAATTTATTAAATAGGTGATGCATATTATCAATAATCTAACGTTCCAGTATCTACCGTTCAGTTTACTTGAGCTAATATTTTTTGAGCACTTAAGTGCGGTAGGACCATCAGCTGTAACTTACTACAGCTGATAACAATAAATAAAAGTTGACGATTAAAAGGAAAGTAAATGCAAAAACAGTCAGAAATAGTGGACAACACAATTCAAACTAATACTAAAAGGTTGATCACAAGATGTCAGGTACTGAACGCAAAGGTACTACCCAATATGTAACTGAGTGCAAGCTCCTTACACTTGGTACTTATTAGTTTTTAGTTTCTCTGTTTACGCACTTCCAAATTAGCTTCAAATGACTACTCTGCAACTTGAGGCTTTAAGTCAAATTAACAGCAGGCAGTGAGTAAGAGAAGCAGTAGCTGGATAACATACATGAAAGCGGAATAGACAACATATGTGATCCACAATTAGCAACCTGTGCATTACTGTGCCAACTTGTAAGACCCCGTGTCACTTGCTTGACGTCAGCACTTGTTGATACTGTATCAGTAACTTAAGACTAGGAAATATAGGTGTGGCCTATTAAACCTTTGGTTTAAAGTTTCTGTTTCTGTTACACACGGCAGCAATCACCACACTGCAGCGTTTTCACCTACCCTTGACAGGTGGTGTACTGCTTTGTCACCCTCATACTTGCATTTGTCTTTAGGAAGTTACATAGGCCTTGCTGCTATTCTTTTGGTTATTTCTGAAAACAAACCAGCAGGAGTGTTCTAAGTGTCACAAGGAAATGGATCATTGGAGGACACCTAGTAGTTTTTTGATAGATAAAGCTTTGGGCTAGTCAGCGAGGTCGAACAAAATATCGCTGCTAATGCAGCGATAGGTGTGTGGCTGCTAAGTTTAATTCTCATATTGCAACCTGTGACATTACTGGCTTTAGTGAGGGGAGTCACTAACACGATGTCCAAGTTACTTTGTAAGTTAATATAGTCCAAAACCGTGTTCTATTGGTCGGTGGCATAATCTCCTGGCTATAGGCTCAGGCTTCATGCAATCACGGGTTTGCTTCCCGATGGAGTTGGAAAATGTGCGCCACTGAGTTTAAAACAAATTGGCTACCTGGTGCATTTCAGGACTTGTGGTTTGAGTATCTAACTTGTGAGCTGCTATGACAAATCGACAAACTTCTACCGAAAGTCACTCTACACATAAAAAGTGATTCCGATTGGTTTAAAATTCATTGTATACAAAGCCACAGTGAGGGCAGTCCTAGTATATGGAAGTGCTACTTAGCCCCTTAGTTACGAGCGACCAAAACTTCTGCTTAATGCACATTATTTTCTTTGGGGAAGTTATGGTCTTTAATTGAGCTAATGTGTACGCATGATGGTTTGCGTGAGCAAGAAGTAGGTGAGGAAAGTTAGTTTGGTTCTTTTAATAATCATATAACTTTTAATAGCTTACACAATTATCGCCACGTGTTACTCCTACGCAGTTACTGTTTGCCTGGGAAAACCCTGTTTTTACAGGATTTAGGATGACTGAAGGATTAGAACAGGCAAAATTGACTTGTAGTAATAAGTAAATTCACTAACTACTAAATTGGGTGCTATTGGTCTATCTGCCTTTGCGGGTAAATTTGCATTATCCACCTTTTTCATGGTTCACGATATCACAAAGCATAGTTCCCTTCTCTCTCTTTTATTATTCATCGTTTTTGAGGTCACTGCGTTTTTAGTTCGGCGAAGCATCGGTTAAAACCATCCTTATTCTGCCGCCGTTGATCTTGATGATAGTGTGCATGTATTTTTTAAAGAAGGCACATTAGTGTTTCATTTCACGGTCCTTCTACGAAGGAACTTAAAATTGTTGGCTTCGTAGATTGTTGGATTTAGTAGAGACGTGCCAACGAATGTGGCGAATTTTATTTTGATCTACTTTTATTATCATAATCATCCAACTCATCTCATTCGTGTGAAGGCGAATGACAAGCGGCATTGCCAAAAAACAGGTTTTCTGATTTTTGTAAAAAATGATGTTACACTTGTTGCTGCATTTTTTTGTCAAAGCGTTTAAACCAATATACGAAAACAACTGCAGTCGTCGATGACTTATTAGTATTCTTGTAAATTAGCGGTAACTTCTTTAGGTTTATGTTTTAAAACTAGTAGGTTGACTGATTTCCCAATTACCAAGTCCAATTTCAGCTCCTCCAACATGCTAGTTCACAGGATAACTATGAATACCTCCTTGACACTTTTTCCACTTGCACATTCTTCTTCTCTGACGAAAAATGTTTTTCCCCACGAAGCTTTTATTAATAAAGCCCAATCTTATCCTAATTGCATATGTCAAGCTGCTTGACGAGAACATAGTTCCGGTAATTTTGTTATACAGTCGGATGCAGCATACTTATTTGAGTCACCGCTTTCGCTAGATTACTTACCAAACACAGGATTGGGTCCAATCATAAAAGTCTGCAGCCAAGCATTTGATGCTTTAAATTCTGCGTTAACACTCTTTTCAAAAAGGGTTAAACTCCTTCTCTTAATAATTGGTCCAGATAATGGGATTTTTATTGCAAGTGCAGACTGATGTCAGATCCATCAACTTGTGTTTATGTCCACTTTTTCCGTTTCCTGCTGTTATTTTTTAAAACTTCTTGACGCGTTTTTCTTAGTGGTTTAACAACTCGGCTTGCGTTTTTAAAGATTAAAGGATTTGTGTCTTTTTACTCTAGAAAGTTTTACCAATGTTTGCGGGCTTCTTCCTTCTTGACTTTGTCAATTCACGGATATTCTTTCTTCAATCGTTAATGCCTTCAGCTTTGCGATTTCGGAATTATCCATTTTGTGCTTTGTCAGACACTTCAACCAGAAGCTGTTCCGTTCTAAATGGACACATAATGGCATAGTTTCTGGTTATCTCCAATAATTTATACGGGCCACGTGACTGGATTTGTGCTTAATTCGAGATGTTACAAAACATGACTGGCAGTCGACACCGGTGGCGTGTATGCTGTCGTCCCCCGGTCGGACTGCATGTTTCAAGTGTGGTTAGCACTGATTTATCCGCGGAGTAACAGCTGATTATGACGCAAAGCAGTGAGAGCTGCAAGCAAACTCTCCCACAGAAATCGCTTTAGCTTTGATGACGGTATATTGTTTATAGAAGTTTTAGGCGCCTTGACACCGAATGTCGACTTAGGGCATTAAGGTCTTACCCTAAGTCCTCCTTCTCTCGCTGTATATCACTGTGCTTATATGACAGCGAAGCATCAGCGCAAATGGCTGCTCCACTGCTGTTGATGTTGACAACGAATCATTTGTACACGCCGAGTACTAGAATGTTAAGACAACGGGAATTGCCAGTAAAGTGTAATTTTAGTAGAAAAATCACAGACCCATTAGATACAGATATACACGTGCAGATAGGTAAGGTACCACTACACTGCACTACCAGTGTCTAGTCTTGTTATTCATACAGGGCAAGCAGAACGAGTGGCTACTTATGACACTTCCAGACGAAATCTAAGGCATCTGTGCGATACAGTGACAGGTTTTCACAGCACCTAAAGACAAAATCCTAGCTAGTCGTGTTAATGGTTGTCGCACTTTACAGGTTTTAGAAT